ATATTATAATAGGGGTGTACTTTTTTGATATGCTTCTAATGCAGCGGATAAGCCTTTAACTGTCACCATCCTTACATTGGGCAATTATCTATGAAAGAGAATCAAATAGATTATTAAACAGAAAGCAGGGAGGAGAGAGTTGGTTATTCTATCTCACAACTTCCTTTTCTCAACATGTGGAAGATATAACATCACTGGTGGCACACTGCTCCAACTTCATTTCCTGTGTAAATAACCATCAGTTTCTGTGTAAATAAGCCCTGGATTCAAAGCAGACTCTTTAAAGGTTCATAAATAGAGTTTAGGGTATCTTTTTTTTTTTAAATGGAGTTGTTTTAAAACCATAGAGGTACACTTTGGACTTCACCCCTCACAGATTACCTGTTAGCTTCATCCTGTGGGGTCAACTAATCTGGATTTACACTAAATAAAGAGGCCAAGAATGTCTATCCCTGTAGGGTTAAAGCTTGTAAAAAATATACAGAGGACGGTATCGCATACACTATATGTTATTTTCATTGGTTTAGTTAAGTGTCTGTTTACTTTTATTTATTCTGATAATATTTTATAGGAGACTTTGTGCATATATGAGAAGACAATTCATGAATCACACCATTGCCTGTGGAGTATGGTCTAGTCTTTCAGGTCCCAGAGGGCTTGATAAAGAGCCCAGGTCAGAGTGGCAGTTGGGACTGTCTGTTCCACCAACTCCTCTGAATCGATAAAAAGCAGGGGCCCTGGTGTCCTTAGTGTGGTTGTCAGCGCTCTAGGCAGTGTGATGCCGGGTTAGGTGACCTATGCACCGGCAAGGTCAGCCACAGTTATGAAGAGGTTGAGGATTTGCGCCGGGTAAACACAGCGTCTTCTCCCTGAGAATACAAAGCAGGCGTGCCGTGATAACTGAAAAGAGCACACAGAGGAAACAGCAAGGCCAGGTTGGAGGACAGTGAGAGGAGCTGAGACAGAGAGAACAGGGTAGGTTAATAATAGTGAAGACAGAGTAAAAAGAAGCAATGAGGTCGCAAAGGGAAATACTGACTGGTTGTGATGAACGAAAGAGGGCTCTAAATGTCCCTTCCATCTTTTTTGCACAGCCGTTCAATTATATTAATGTACCAACAAAGTTTGGCAGAAGGAATAGAGAAAAGCATGGACAGTATCTCTCTTTACACTAGAGGGGACTCTCATTCTGTCAAACAGATGGATTCCCTATTTTCATTCAGCAAGTAAGACTATCCCTATCCGTTCATCCTGATGTCTGCCTCTGAACACAAGGCCCATTTCCAAAGAGATGATTAATGCATGCAGTAATTAGAGTTTAATTGAAACTGCATTTTCGGATTTTGTCTGAAACCTCACGGCTTGACTGGCTTCAAATGAAAACCAGACTGATTAGTCAGCTGATGTTGTTTAGAGGAAATGCATTTTGTCTCTGTAGGATCCCTAACATTTAGAGAAAATGAAGGAAATACATGCTGGCCTAATTGGACTTATGGGAGTAGAGGTGATGCACTGTCATGGTTTAGTTAATGTGAGGTTGTGGGCTCCAACTGAGGTTCATTAAAAAGTAATAGTGTGGAGGATGAGCAAATAAAAATAGGGTAAAAAATAAATATTAACTAGCTAAATGTTTATTTATGGTCTTTTTTACTTTGATGTATCGTTCTAATTTTGCATAAATTATTCTGCAGTGGAGGTTTATTACATATGACAGGTGCAAAGAGGAAATTGCATTTTGAAATAACTTGTAAATAAATATCAAATAAACTCCTACATTTATTTATTTTTTTTCCACTGAATGGTTTCTTTTTTCTTGCTTTCTTTTTTGTCCTTTCTTTCTTTTTTTCTTCTTATTTTTACAGTGTTCTGGTGTTATGTCAGATCAGCATGCCTTGTTCTAATAAACAGGCGCTCACATGCGCAAGAGAGAATTATTCCCACATTGAATTTTAGCAGGAATGTACCGACCAGCAAAAACACATTTATTTTAACTTTTAAAAAAGAAAATCAGCTTTGATTATACTGTTATTCCTTTGATGCAGAAACGACCTGACATGATTGAAGTTTCCCTGATGTTGAGAGAAGAAACCTCTAAAGCTAAAAACATATTGATCTATATTAATTTGAAATAAGTTATTTTAGTATTAAAAATCATGTGAGTGGGAATTTAAATTTGATTAGATTATGTTTTAATGTTTAAAATCATAGAAAACATTGGCTGTGGTTTATATTGTGACTCACAATGGCCTGGTGGTTAGGCCATAGGGATGGAATCATGAGGGTGTGAGTTCGAAACCCACTCCCACAGACTGCCACTCTGGGTCTCTGAGCAAGAACCCTTAACACCCGATCCCAAACAGGATGGAATTAATGCAGAGAGTAAATTTCACTATTGTAAGATCAATAAAGTTCAATTTGTTATTTTAAGTGTTTCATTATTCACATATTTTGTACATTTATTTTACACAGCCTTATATGGTGAAGTTTAGGCTGTCGCCCAGTTGATGTTTTCTATCTATCCATAGGCGAGGGAGGGCAGATGTCTGAGCAGAAGTTGTAGCATCTCCTCATTTTGTGGCCCAAAGATAACTACACTGTTTTTTTTGTTAGTTTTTTTTTTATCATGTTATTCTGGATAAAACTGTCTATGATAGTTCCATACAAAGACTTAGGTTTCATAGTTGCTATATCGGATTGGCAGAAGAGCTATTTGTCTTTTGAGTCTGCAGCTGCAGTGTGCATCCTGGCTGACCCCTGCTGTTGTTTCACCCAAAGAGAGCTCATCAGCTAGCTGAAGGGAACAGCCTACACCCTCCCCAGCAAAACTAGAATCATAATGTTTTTGCCCATGGAGGTATTGCTTCACTGCCTCTGGGAAAAATACTCCCAGTTGGAGAGAAGTACCCACACCTCCAAATTAAGCATAAAGACTAGATACTACGAGATAAATATAAGTTGTGAGTTTTATTGACTGCAGTTTAAATAAGAAATCCATTTGTCACTGTCAGAAACAAGCCTAGGCAATGTTTTCAATTATATGGTGGAGTAAGATAAAGAAAAGAAAAAAATAGACCAAGCAACAGTTCTTACGTTTTATAACTTTGTGATAAGAAAAATAAGTTATCAATGTATGCAGATGTAGATTTGATTTGACTGATATTTCTTCTGTTTTTCCCAGTTGGATGTCACATAAATATGCTCAGCTGCTCTCCTTTAGCACAGGGCCGGCCCACAGCATAAGCGAACAAAGCAACTGCTTCAGGCCCAAGGACAGCAAGTGCCCCAAGAGCAATTAATTGTTTTGGGGGATTTTTTGCACGTATAATAATGTCTATATAAATATATGGGACTGCAACTGTTATTTTAGTAGTTGATCAGTTAACATCAATATTGTTTCAGAAAAATTATTACTTATATAAGAAGTAATAAAATTGGCCTTGGATTCAAAGCTTTTGAATATAGTAATATCAATTTTCTTCATTTTACAAACTAATTATTTTTACCATTTTATATCGGTACCTTTTTTTCTGTTATTTAAGAGCATGCTTGATTTTTTTTTGTTAATATTAGCCTATTGTTTCCATTGTACATATTAATTTATAATTTATAAACCCTTATTTTTTAAAGCTATTTCTTTATTTTTTTATGATTCTTTCTCTACATATTATTTTTGCACATTGCTGCTGTAGTAGGAACCAAAACGTATAAACCAAATGAAAGTTCTACTATAAATAAACTGCATCCTGGTTTAGTTTATTATTTTTAGTTACCTTAGATGGTTCATACAAATAATAGACTGTAAACATCACTTCCATAGCTGCAACAAGTTTATAGTTGTTGTATGAGTTATCTTATCATTCAGCTGTTGATAGCAGGAAAAATCAAATTGTGCTCAGGGCTCCATGGAGGCCTCAATAGAGATTTTGTGGGAAAGATTGGATTATCAGGAATAGCAGAGGATTCATGCTAATTCTGGTCAGCAGTCAAAAGCATTTGATTGCTGTGAAGCCAAAAATTGATTTTTCCTTGTAGCTGACAAAACATTTTTTTTTTCAAAAGTTAATTGATGATTCCCTCTGTTTAGTCCTTTGTTTTCTTCTAGGATATACCACTACAATTTTATTTATTTTTTTTTATGAAAATATGTACCATAAACCTGCTTAGACTATTAGGTATGTGGGGTTCAACAAGCTATATAAATACATTTGTAACTAGAAAAGCACCAAGAAGTTAATTTTTCCCATATTCTGACTTAAACCTATAGCTAAGACTTGCATGATTTGTATCATTACCAAATGTTCAGCTTTCACCTTCTTCATTCAAGGCTCACATTTCTTGAGTTTTTGTCTTCAGTATAATACTTTGGGATATTTTTGAGTCTCATGCTGAAGATGTCAATGGTCACTGCTGCCACTCCCTGATTTCGAAACTGCTTGTTCTGCCAATTAATGTTAGAATAAAGCATACTTAAAAAAATTGTGCATCCAGATTATGATGTGGCTCATCACCAACATTAAAAGGATTTTTCCTTGGACTGAGGGGCACCTTTGGTAACAATTTCATTAAATTTCCTTTAAATCCGTCCATAACTTTTAAAGTTGTCCTGTACACAGACAGACAGACACCCAAACTCTCCTAAAAACATGACCTCATTGATGCAGGTAATAACAGCCAAGGCTGTAGAGTTAAAGTAGGATGGCTAAGAAAACAATTTTGGAATGAAATCCTCCCGACTTCCTTTATATTATCCCCTAGTAACCGAAACACAAACTCCACATGTTATTTTAGGAACAAATAGCTTAAACTTTAGTTTGAAAAACAGTTTTTACTGGTGCAGTTACTGAAAAATGTGTTTAACAATGCCTAGAATCGACTACAGTTTTAAAAAACTTTCAAAATATTTTTCAGACATTCTTCACAATGAGACACACAAAACTTGAGATTCTGTCCAAGTTTTAACTGTCTCTCATTGCTATTCTGCACATCTCTGTACCTCACAGGTGAAGTACTTCGCCTGGGGAGAATCTCTGGCCACATCGTGAATGGTGGCTGGTCATCTTGGAGTTCTTGGTCTCAGTGTAGCAGAGACTGCAGTCGGGGAATTCGGAGCCGAAAGAGGACCTGCAGCAGCCCAGAGCCACGTTATGGGGGTCAGACCTGCCTGGGCCCGGCACAGGAGTTCCAGGAGTGTAACGTCACTCCCTGTCCAGGTAGGTCATTTCTAAATATGTCACAGCTTCTCCTAGCAGAATGTGTTTCCGTTTAACTGTTTCATAGCACATTCACATGGTAGCAGAAAGTTGTGGATTTAATTAATTAATTAATTTACTGTTGTTGTTTTTTTTTAAATAAACCCCTTGCATTGTAGCTTTTGCTGTACTTAGTAGGCTGTGGTCCTGCAGTTAGATGAACCTCCATCCCAGTCTCAAGTCTTCTACTGCTCACTCTGTATTCAGCTCTATGAGTAAAGCATGATGGTGGCTGCATCATCCTCTGGGGTTGGGGTTCTTCAGATGCAGCAATACTTGCTTTAAGGTCTGGTGAAATCAGTAATTGTTTAAATAGTGGCCAGTTCTAAGCCAATTCTTCAATCATATGCTAGAAAGCTATGTAGGAGAAGGACTTTTATTTTCCTCATCAAAGCAACACAACAATGAAAGTGCCTCAACTGCAGAAAAAGAGTTTTGGAGTCATATCTAAGTCATAACTGATTTTGTAGTTAACGGAAGAGTGCTCAGGACAAGAGATGTCCTGATAATTGGATTTTGAGAACCATTTCAAGATGGGATATACAAATATTGCCAAATTAAAAAGTGAAAATTTGAGTCCTACTGATAAAGACTGAACACTTCTTAAACAAAATCCTGCTTTAATACATATTAGGTTAAAGGTGTGAACACTAATGCTACAGAGCTTGGTACAAAAAGTACTTATTTTCCTATTATTATTTCATTTACGTATATATATATATATATATATATATATATATATATATATATATATATATATATATATATACATACATATAAATCACTTTTTTTTAGGCTTTTCAGTGGGAGTGTACATAATAAATGTCATAACTTAACAAAAGTCCAGTTTTTAAATATTCAAACTATTTGAATTAGAGGGGATCCAATTAAGATGGATGGGACGTGTCATCTTCCTTCTACTTCACAAACACTTTGTCTCTATCTTTTACAATAAATACGAATAAAATATTTTCAAAATTGTGATTATGATAACAAAAATTTTTGGAAAAAGTTAGAGCAACATGGATACTTGCTCATGGGCACTTGTACACATGTTGCTATCCTAAAATTAGTACAAAATGGTTACACTAAAAGAAAAAAGTCATGGCAGGCAGAAAGATAAGAACAATTAAAAGAGCCGTAGTCAATAACAAGCCAAACCCTTTCACTCATACAGACTAAAACACATCCCTCCACACTATTTTAAACTACACGGTCTTTCTTCCTCTTGATTAATGGATAAAGGATAACGGTGACAAATGACCTACAGAATCATTCAAACCCACGGACGAAATCAGTTGCAGATAAAAGGTGTGACAGAGACCCCAATTTAGACCAAGAATCAAGGAGACAATCCCTCTGGCTCTCTAGTATGTAATTACTACTGCTGTGTAATTATGTTGCCAGCCAGGGGAAGGCCTTATTCTGTTGTGAAAAGCCTCGAGACAATGTATTTTCTACGCTCTTCTGGCAGAAAAGGACGAGGGGAAGCTTTCTAATTAAAAGAATACTTCATGTGACGAGGGAAGTAAGCTGTCTAAATGGAAATCCAGTACTCAGTTTGGCATTAAGCCCACCCGGTATTCAGCCCAGCTAATGAAGAGGCAAGTGTGATGTTGTCTAAGATGATTATCAATTAAGGATAGTGACGAAAAGAGGGTTTGGTCTCTTGCTGATTAATCCCCACTCATCAAAATTGATCTCTCTTAATAACTGGTTGGAAGCAAATAGTTTAGAATACCCAGAACATCCATCACCACAGTATCTAAACGCTTCAGTGAAAATTGCACTTTTTAGCCCCCCAGCAGCTTAAAGAGTTGTCGCTCATGGACTAAGCTATTTTTAAGTTTAGAGGAACATTAACAGTGGATCAAATAACAAATTGCTTCATCATGGCAGACGGAAGGGATTCACAGGGGAAAAAGGAGTGTAGAAATGTTTTCAGCATCTCTGCAATCTCTGTAGTAAAGGTAGTACACCTATTCTTGGATGTTGACTCTAATAATACTGCAGTTAAGAGTGTGTTGATGAACAACTCCCTGCTCTTGTCCCCCCCAAAGGGGCCAGCTTAACCCAGCCCAAGTAGCAATGAATACTAATGCGTTCTCAATTAGCACCCCTCTGGAAGTGAGATATTATTTTGAGGCTGGCAGACTGTTCTGGTAGAGGAATTGTAATCCTACCCTGGCTAATCCCCTTTATTTTATGTGTTAGTTTGCTTAGAAGGGGGAGGCCAAAGAAAAGGTGTTATGCCTTCCATCCATCTACTATGCAATAATCCACTTATGTGTCGCTCTGCAATGATGACAGAAAACCTTTGGCGACTTCGATTACCGGTTTAGTGCCAGCAGCCATCTTTAGACGGGAGTTTTTGGCTGCTTCAATGGAGATGGATATTTACCTCGACTGAGGCTCATGTGAAAGATTTCCTCATATTTTTACACCCTTTTTCACTTTCTTTTTCTACCTACTCTACTCACTTTAATGCTTTAGTTTGTTTCTTTGTATTGCTGTCATGAATGCATACATCTGTTAAACAGTACTTGTTGGCACAAAGGGATGAAGAGGAATAAGGACTCAATGCTTCATTCGTCTTTGTTAATCACATGGGAGAATTTATAGGCTGTAAAGGCTGTAGAGGTAAAATGCTAACGCTCTTATGACAACATTCAAAATCACCTATAAAGTCAGTCAAATGTATATCTACACTCATCAGTGGCGCAATGATTGTCTTATTGGTTCTAAGCTTTTAATGTAGCATTTTAACAAGTCGTTTTTTGTTTCTTCTTTGTTTTTTTTGGAGGGTGCCATGAATATACAACAAAATATTTTCTGAAATATATAGTTGAATGAGTTATTTAATCTCCCAGCTTTAAATTGATCAAACTTTTGGTTTTAGTGGATGGCAGTTGGTCCTGCTGGTCATCATGGTCTAAGTGCTCTGTGACCTGTGGAGGAGGACACTACATGAGGACCAGAACCTGCAATAACCCTCCCCCAGCGTACGGAGGAGACATCTGCCTGGGACTCCATACAGAGGAAGCACTATGCAACACGCAGGCTTGTCCAGGTATACACAAGGGCTTTATCTTCTAAGTAAAAAGCAGGTGAGAGTTCAGATGCAGGAACTGCTCTCACCAGGCTTTATCATTTTTCCTCTCAAAGGGAGCTCATGCATCCCTAATTTACACAAAGTCCTTCAGTGCAGTGTAGGCTCTCATCCAGCAGGCTTTAAGACACTCTGTCATGGCTATTTTCCAGAGAGCTGGTCCAGCTGGTCTGAGTGGTCCCACTGTGACTCCAGCGGCGCCCAGCTGCGAGTGCGTCACTGCAATGTCCTTTTCCCCACTGGTAACCAGTGCTCAGGAAACAGCAGCGAGACGAGGCCCTGCTCTCCTGACTCCAACTTTATACCAGGTGATAACACACATATGCACTCCAGTGCACTCTGTCGGCACTTTATAATGACACTTATGCATGGTTTAACACACAAGTTTAAGGTGCGTACCCACCGCCATCTGATGCTCTTAGCAGTAATTCAGTTCATTTCCAAGAATCCTGTGATAATTAAGTGCATTATTGATTTCTCTAAGCGAGGAAATAGTATGTTAGAAGTCAGGTTAAGAAATAATTCAGCCTTTTAGGTTGAATAAGAAACATTCTGAGGAAAGACTCCTCATCATAGGATATAATTATATCAGGGGTGTGAACCCTGCAGTTTTAGTATTACAAGGATATTTGGAGCCTTTTTAATTATTGAAAAAAGCTCTATTTCTTTGAGACTCAAATGAATGATTCCTTTATTATCTTTTTTTTTCATGTTTAACAGGGGAGCTTTACTGTTTCCATGACAACCTTATCTTTGGCCTTAAGCAAGTGGGAGTTTTTCTAGTTTTGCTTTTATCGTATTTTTAGGGCAATCCTGAATTTATTTTAACAAACAAGGCTAGATGGAGAAAAGAGTTTAGAAAGAAAAACAAGTTATTACTATAAAACTTCTTGAACAAAGAACAGATTAAAACTGACAAATAAAAAACAGCTGATAAAGTGAAACTTTGAAGGATGTCATACAGTTTCTCTCAACTCAAGGCAAATATATTTCACCTCTAGTATTAGTTCTCAATCATAAAAGAGACACACAAACGGGTTAGGTTGTCTCTATTACAGAATTTATGTCATACCTCTGCTCATTTGCAAAGGTACCTTTTCATTGTCATGTGATAGAAATGAGCCCCAGTTCAATGAAAGGTCATTGATTAAATAAATTAGAGAAGGTGGTAAATGGATAGATCAGAAGCTTTTTGATTACTGTCTAGGAGGAAGGAGACAGAGTGTGTTCATAGTCAGGAATAGGGCTAGAGATATTGATTATTTTATTATTTGATTAATTCATTTAGCCATTCTTCTTAGGAGATTGATTAATCTAAAAAAAATTAAAGTATCAACTCACAATAACAAGAAGATTTGAACTTTAAAAAATCACAATTTTATTTCACATTATAAAAGCTTTATAACTGGCAAACATTCTAGTCTAAGCTCAGAACATAGGATTTGAATAAGAAAGTACTGGACTTCCTGTTTGGATTAACTGAGTGTGCAGCTGTTCAGAGGATCTCCATCTGAAGTTAAGTTATTTTCTCTGTGATATCTCTGTATCTAAGTAACTCTAACTGACTACTTTAAAACATAGCACCTTCTGCTGCACTTTTCTACTGAGCACTCGTCAGTTTCACACGGTTTTATTTCTGATAGCAAGAAGTAGCTAGCCTAGGCTAGCGCTAGCTTAGCATTGCTATGGCTTCTCTCTCTCCCTCCCTTGACTCTTTTCCAACTCTTCCTTCTTCCTCTCCTCTCTCCTGCTCTCTGTGTCAGATGTTCAGTTATTCCTCTGCCTCCTTTAGTGATAATGGGATGTGTAATAAGTGTAGTATTTTTGTAGCTTTGGAGGCGAGGGTGTCAGAGTTAGAATCCAGGCTTCAGGCTGTTGAACATCCAGGAGTTAAAGTAGGCCCCCCACGTAGCTGTCCTCCAAAAGTGCCTGAGCAGCCAGGCGATTGGGTAACTGTACGCAGAAAGCGTAGTCGTGGATCTCTGCCCACTGGTCACCACCAACCCGTTCACGTTTCTAACCGGTTTTCCCCACTCAGTGACACACCCACTGAGAAGCCCACTCTGGTGATTGGCAGCTCCATAGTCAGAAACGTGGCATTAGAGACACCAGGGACCATAGTCAAATGTTTGCCGGGGGCCAGAACGGGCGACATCAAATCCTACCTGAAACTACTGGCTAAGGATAAGGTTAAATACAGTAAGATTGTTATTCACGCTGGTGGTAATGACACCCGGTTACGCCGATCGGAGGTCACTAAAATTAGTGTTGCTTCGGTGTGTAAGTTTGCCAAAAAAATGTCGGACTCCGTAATTTTCTCTGGTCCCCTCCCTGATCTGACCAGTGATGACATGTTTAGCCGCATGTCGTCATTCAACCGCTGGTTGTCTAGGTGGTGCCCTGAAAACAACGTGGGCTACATTAATAATTGGCAATCCTTTTGGGGAAAGCCTGGTCTGATTCGGAGAGACGGCATCCATCCCACTTTGGATGGTGCAGCTCTTCTTTCTAGGAATCTGGCCACATTTATTAGTCCTCCAAAACCCTGACCACCCAGGGTGCAGACCAGGAAGCAGAGTTGTAGTTTAACACACATCTCTGCAGCTTCTCTACTGTTACCCACTCTTTACTCCATCCAGACAGTGTCTTGCCCACGACCAAAATCTAATAAATTAGCAAAGATTCCCAAAGGAGTAAATCATGATAATCTAATTAAAATCAAAATAACTCAAATTGGGGAAAAAGTTAAAACAATTAAATGCGGTCTGTTTAACATAAGATCGCTTTCCTCTAAAAGTCTACTAGTTAATGACTTGATTTGTGATAATCACATTGACTTGTTTTGCCTTACAGAAACCTGGCTGCAGCAAGAGGATTATGTGAGCATAAATGAGGCAACTCCTTCAAGCTATTTAAATTTTCACATCCCCAGAAGTTCTGGGCGAGGAGGAGGAGTAGCAACAATCTTCCAGTCTGACTTACTGATTACTCCCAAAACAGTTAATACCTACAACTCTTTTGAACATTTAACCCTTAATTTCCCTGATCCAAATTTCAAGGCAAGAAAACCTCTTCTTTTTGTAACTTTGTATCGTCCACCAGGTCCGTACTCTGAATTTTTAGATGAGTTTTCAGAGTTCCTTTCTGATTTGGTATTAAATACTGACAGGGTCATCATAGTGGGAGATTTTAACATCCATGCTGACATTGAAGGCGATAGCTTAAGAGCAGCCTTTAATGCTATCTTAGACACTATTGGCTTTGTTCAAAATGTGAATAGTCCCACGCATTCTCATCTTCATACTTTGGATCTTGTGCTGACATACGGCATAGAATGTGAAGAAATAACAGTATTTCCTCACAACCCTGTCCTCTCTGACCACTTTCTAATAACCTTCAGGATTACTTTAACAGAGTTCTCCTCCCCCAAAAGAAGGTTCAATTTTAGTAGATCTTTATCAGATAGTGCAGTTATAAATTTTAAAGAATCTGCTTCACTTTCTCTCTCCTCTGTGTCACTGAGCAGTGCTGCAGAGTGCAAAAGTTTAGCTTATTCCCCTTCACAGGTTGATGATTTTGTTGATGGGGTTGCTAGTTCTCTGCGTATTGCCTTAGACAACGCAGCTCCTTTGAAAATGAAAACCGTTAAAAATAGAAAGCTTGCTCCTTGGTTTAATGCAGAGCTGCGTACTTTGAAGCAAAATGCTAGGAAACTGGAGAGAAAATATCGCTCCACAGGCCTGCGAGAGTCCTTCCTAGTCTGGAAAAATGGTTTACTGCTGTATAAGAGGACCCTTTGTAAAGCAAGAGCAGCATACTTCTCCTCATTAATAGAGGAGAATAAGAATAATCCTAGATTTCTTTTTAATACAGTTGCCAAACTCACCCAGAGCCATAGCTCTGTTGAACCGTCCATTCCACCTGCTCTTAGCAGCAATGACTTTATGGGATTCTTTATAAATAAGATTGATCTTATTAAAAATAAGATCATAAGCACTCCTCTATCCGCGATTGTACCTGAGGTAGTCATGGAATCTGAACTGGGTTTAGACTGCTTTGAACCAGTTGAACTCTCTGAATTAGCAAAATTATTGTCTTCATCTAAGCCTTCAACTTGTATGTTAGATCCAGTTCCAACCAGGTTATTTAAGGAGGTATTCCCTTTGATCTCCTCCTCCATTTTAGATGTGATTAATCTATCTCTGTTACAGGGATATGTACCTAAAGCTTTTAAGGTTGCTGTAATTAAACCTCTGCTTAAGAAACCGTCTCTTGACCCAGATGACTTGGTCAATTATAGACCTATATCCAATCTTCCTTTCTTATCCAAAATTCTTGAGAAAGTAGTTGCCAAACAAGTTTGCGATCACTTCCACCATAATGAACTTTTTGAAGAGTTTCAGTCTGGCTTTAGAGCTCATCATAGCACTGAAACAGCTCTGGTGAAAGTCACTAATGATATTCTCATGGCCTCAGATAATGGACTTGTATCTGTGCTCGTCCTGTTGGATCTTAGTGCTGCATTTGATACAGTTGACCATAATATTCTTTTAGAAAGACTTGAATATTTTGTTGGAATTAAAGGAACAGCACTAGACTGGTTTAAATCTTATCTATCTGATCGAATTCAGTTTGTTCATGTTAATGATAGATCTTCAACACGCTCAAAGGTTACCTGTGGAGTACCACAGGGATCAGTGCTAGGACCAATTCTCTTTACTTTATACATGCTCCCAATTGGTAGAATTATTAGACAGCATGGGATTAATTTCCACTGTTATGCTGATGATACCCAGCTATATCTGTCTATAAATCCAGATGAAGCTAACCCATTACATAGATTACAGGCATGTCTTGAAGACATAAAAACCTGGATGACTCTTAACTTTCTGCTTCTGAATGCAGACAAAACAGAAGTTATAGTCTTTGGACCAGAGTCTCTGAAAAAGAAACTGATTAGCCAGTCACTTCATTTGGATGGGATTAAACTGATTTCAGATAATAAAGTAAAAAATCTTGGTGTTGTTTTTGATCAGGACCTGTCATTTAGGTCCCATATCAAGGAGGTTTCTAGAATTTCCTTCTTTCATCTGAGGAACATTGCAAAAATTAGAAATATCCTGTCCAGGGGTGATGCTGAGAAACTAGTCCATGCATTTGTTACTTCAAGGCTGGACTATTGTAATTCTTTACTATCAGGAAGTCCACAAACTGTAGTTAAAAGCCTTCAGCTGATCCAAAATGCTGCAGCCAGAGTTCTAATGAAAATTAAAAAGAGAGATCATATCTCGCCTATCCTGGCTTCTCTTCATTGGCTTCCTGTTAAATCAAGAATAGAATTTAAAATCTTCCTTCTCACATATAAAGCCTTAAATGGCCAAGCTCCATCTTATATCAGAGATCTGATTGTTCCTTATGTTCCTAACAGAGCACTTCGCTCTCAATCTGCAGGTTTACTAGTGGTTCCTAGAATTTCTAAAAGTAGAATGGGAGGCAGATCTTTTAGTTATCAGGCTCCTCTCCTGTGGAACCAACTACCAGTTTTAGTCCGTGAGGCAGACACCCTGTCTACTTTTAAGGCTAGGCTTAAAACTTTCCTTTTTGATAAAGCTTATAGTTAGAGTGGCTCAGGTTATCCTGAGCTATCTCTATAGTTATGCTGCTATAGGCTTAGACTTTTGGAGGACATAGGGACCCCCATTTCATCATTCTGCTTCATTCTCTCTCTGTTCTCCTATTCTGCAGAATCTGTTAGTTCAATCTCTAACCTTCTGCTCTCTCTGCTTTTCCTCAGAGTAGCTTTGCCTCGTCTGTTCCTGTTTGGCTGTGACGTCATCCTGGAAAGAAACATCAGCTGTGCTGCTTCTATCAACACCCTTGTTTATAGATGTTGGAGATCGGCCTGTTTTCCAGTGTGGTCCTGTTTCTCTGACCGTGACTGAGTGGATGTGCTCTCTTCGTCCTCTGGCATGGGAGCTGCCTTGGAGCTCTTCTGCCTGGCTGTGTGTTTCCTGGACGGGGCCGCCTTTTACAGCTGCTTTTTGTATCTCTGCTTCTGTCTCCTTGAACCCCAGTCGGCCTCGGCAGATGGCCGCTCACACTGAGCCTGGTTCTGCTGGAGGTTTCTTCCTGTTAAAAGGGAGTTTTTCCTCTCCACTGTCGCTACAAGCATGCTTAGTGTGGGGGATTGTATTTGAGTCAATGAGTCAATGCAATCAACTGGTTTTCCTTAGATAGAAAACTTTGTATCAATTTGACTGTATGATCTGGTTGAACTGTAAAGTGCCTTGAGATGACATGTGTTGTGAATTTGGCGCTATATAAATAAACTGAATTGAAATTGAATTGAATTTATGTGTGTCGGAAAGGCTTGAAAATGGCCCTTACTACATATTATGAGACAGAAAGTGGGAATCTCTGCTAAGAAATAAAGTAAACAATACAGTAGACAAGATACATTAGTTTAATGTATCATAAATGTTGGATCCTCATGATAAGGTAGAGCTGCAGCCTGCAGCTAATCATTACTGTGCTTATCAACTAATCCATTGTCTATTTTCACCAAAGAATTAATTTTTTCAGAATTTGAACAAGGACAAGCTGAAATTTTCATTTAAACAGTTCTGAATAGAGCATGTTTTATCAATAAGGTTTTTAATCTGAAATGTAAAAAGCATGTTTTTGTACAGATTTGGCTTTACTCTTGCTCTGATTGGATTTTTTTTCTTTTAGCAAATCACATGTTATAGAGCAGGTATAATCCAGTTAATTATTATTAGATTAGGAAATGTGTTTATTTCATTAATCTATCAATCACAATTAATCCAATGAACTGTTGCAGCCCTCGCCTGAGATAACATGTCAAATTTGGAAAGATAAAGGGATGAGTGGGATGAAAAGGATTTGGTGGGATAAAAAAAAGGGTGAGGATGCCAAGAATTGCATAAAAGTATGAAAGAGAAGTAGATGAGTGGGATGCAAAAAACCATAAAGGAGTATGTGAATGATTAGTTGGAGCTCTGAACAAAGGATGGGTGAAATAAAATTTGGGGTTGTAATGAGGGATAAGAAGGATAATTAGCATTAAAAGGAATATAAAGTGGAACGGGTTAAACAAAAAAAGAGGTTATGAAGATGAATAAAGATAATGAAAAGGAATGTAAGACAGGGATAAGGTGGATATAAGGGGAGAAAGAATGAGAAATGAGATACGGATGAACAGATAAGAGGGAGGAAGTATGTGGTTAAGAGTAGAGGACAGGCTAAATGATTATAACAAATGATTAGAAGTGTGATTGAGGCGCAGCCTTTCTACCAGGTATATAGAAGAACATTAAATATTTTAGTGTTAGAATGTTTGTTTTGAGCCTCATTTTATTAATTAATGAAATGGAAGATTAATACATTTAATAAATCATAAAGCATTATCAAAGATTTTTGCATTGAAAAAAATATACATAAATGTTTTGAATGAGAGTTGGTGACGCCTTTAAATACGCTAATACAGCATACAATAGGATTATTGGAGAGCAAAAACACTGAGGTATGAACTGAAGAGCATTTTCTCCTTAGGCACATTTTACATTTCTTATATCCAAATTATTGCTATATATGTAAACATATTTTAATTGTGTATAAGTCTCATAATTGAGCTTTTTGGAGAGATTTTGCATAATCTGTTAATAAATTAAACATTTTCTTTTACACTGATTTTTAACCAGTCTTCGGATGCTGCTTTTCCAAAGTTCATTCACTATCATATTTTTATTTTTCATTTTGGCACATTTGTATTTGCTGAAATCTGTTAGATTTCCTTCCGCCGCCCCAGTTATGTCCCACATTGCAGAAGCACCCAGTAGAACTGGATTCCCAGTAGGAGCTGAGAGCAACCCTGCCGTTTATGAAACCATCTCATTTTTGCTGTCATCTGAACTGCCAGGCTGTTAATTCTCAAAGGAAAATCTGAATGATTCGCAGAGATTGTTTTCTGTTTCAGCCTTTATGCCTTAGTACCTGTTGGTTGGTTATAGGCAGCTAGAGCCACACAATATTGGTGAATGTAAGTCCTGTGGAGAAATGTAAAACTGAGCAACTGTTTTGTTTGATAAATCTATGCTGGCTGCCTATGACAGAGAGCGGGACAAGTTAAGATGGATAATCAAATTGAATCGGGATGATAAGCTTTATTGTATACTGCCCACACCCTCCTGTCTTTCTCACACTGTTAGTATTGACATCGGCTCAGACAGGCATCTCCTTATTGACAGTTGGTAATGTGAGACACAGAAAAGAATTGATCCCTGCACCTCTGCTAAACAAGGATCATTAAAGCTCCTCCTTTCAAGAAAGGATTCTTCGTGCCTCATATGATATATCTGAGACACTGAATAGTTAAATAAGGATGGAGTATTCCTGTTTAGGTGCTTTTACAGTTTTTCAAGAAGCATAACCATCTGTAAGTTTAACATCCTTCTGACGAGGTCATTAATTATGAGAAAGAACAAACATTTGACCGAACCAAATGTTTGTAACCTTTAGGTGTTAATTAATAGGGATATAATCCTCATCTAAAATTTCTACAGAATTATCCATCTGCATTTTTATCACACCATCCATCCCTTTTTATGGGAAAGGTAGTCCATTAGGGTTCATTAGCAACGTCTTGTACTTCATTCCCTTGTAATGGGAACTGATACTTTTCATAAACCACTCAAGGTACAACAGCCTTGATTAGCTTGTGGAGTTTTAACGATTTCCTGCTTCATATTAAGCACAGCTGTCATTTTCAAGCTCACCTACAGTAGAACGAGTCGGTGAAAAAACATGGAAGTATGCATGTGTTAAAGTGTTTTCCTGCTAACCGGCTGTTTTGTTTTTTTTGTTTTATTTTTTTACTGTTTCCACCTTTAGAAGTCTCCATTGCACGGTCCAGTCAGGAGGAGAGGCACTGCGGAGGTAATTTACGTCTGGATGTGTGAGAGTTAGTGTGAACGAAGAGGGCATACAGCATCTGGTATAATGGGATAAAAAAAAAGAGGGTGTTTCGATCAGAAGAGCTTTGTTTACGTTTGAAAGAAATGAGGGAGGTTATATTAAAAATATTTTTGTTATTTTATCCAGAAACTGTATATTCAGTTTTCGGTTAAGCTGTATTAGGGGACATTATTGGAATTAGGAATTAAGATAAGGCATGGAGTGCTATAGAAAGTGTTAATTTATTTAAGTTTGAATGTATTTTATTAGGATTTTATGTGATAGACAAACACTAAACAGTCCAGGATTTTTCAACAGAAGGAAAATTATATATATATATATATATATACACACACACACATTGGTTTTGATGTAAGCATACATAAAGTTCAGTAAAACTTAAAAAAAATCAATTTAAAAGCAATCCACTGGACTTGGTTTCCAAGATTTGAAGACGTTTCGCTTCCCCTCCAGAAAGCTTTCTTAATTCGAATGTCTGGATCTGCAGTGAGTTTGAGTTTTTATATAGACAAGGCCTTGTATTGCTTGGAAACATGCAAATTGAAACGGACAAGTGGGTCGTTTTGTTCCATTGTTAGCCTGTAATATCTGAAACCTTTCTATGATTCTGAAAGTTAATGGCTGAATAAAGTTAATGTCCCCATCTATTCTAAACTTGAGGTGTTCTGCTAAGAACAATTGGCAATCATGTTTTTTTTTTCTATATTTGATTAATGAATGAAAACACCCTTAAAGCAGCTTATAGCTGAAAAGATTATGATATCTTTGTCATCTTTACAAATTTGTAAAAAAAAAAAACAACCTGAAACCAATTTCCATCCATCTTCTTTCTGTCTTTTAAATACACGCTATTTGGTGTTAATCTATCACGAAAATCTAATTAATTTGTGGTCTTAAACCAAAAATATATATATTTCAGGGTTTTTTTTCCCTCTTTTTTATACTAATGTTTTCCTCAGCTTATGTAAAGTATGATGAGGATAGTTGCAGATTACATAATTTTCAAATCAAATTCTAGGCTATGATTTATAAATCTACTTGCTCAGTTTGTTGGGGCTTAACTCGACCTCATTAGAACTTGTATATGGAACCATCGAGCATATCAAAAAAAGCCTTCATTACATATCTGTTAACCTTGGTTGTTTAACTTTTTTTTAAAAGTACATCTAGTAACTTTAAGTTAAGATATGAACATTTTAGGCCTGGATAGGGATCCTGCAGGTCTCAGGCACCCTCACACTGGCTTTATTCTTTAGCAAAGATTTGTTTATATCTCTTAACAGTCTATATATGTTTAACTTAGCTTATAGGATGTGCTACATTGCCTCTTCATGCTGTACCAATTTAGGGATAAAACTTCTGTAGGTTTAGATCTCATAAAATACTGAAGTAAGGTTTTTTTTTAATGGCATACTTTTGAATTAGTATTATTACAGGATGTTGCATATACTATGGATAAAGAAATACGCTCCAGTATAAGAGTAAAATCGTACTCTAAGTCTGTTATTACACTAAAGTTAGACTTTATCCAGACTTAGTATAGAGAGAGGACTTTAACTCAGTATGTCAATGGGTTATCTATAATAAATCATTAGTCAGAGAGAAGAAAGGGATATTTTGAATATTAATAGCCCATTTTTTCGATTTTTTTTTAGTGTTCGAGGGTCTGTGTTACACACACTTTGTTTTTTTAAATATTTTAGAATTAGCCCCAGCCCTATTCTTACGCCTTCCACTTTCCCCTCTCAGATTTCAACCTATTCCACATGATCGCTGTGGGCCTCAGCAGCTCGATCCTTGGCTGCCTGGTCACCCTGCTCGTCTACTCCTACTGCCAGCATTACCAGCAGCAGTCTCATGATGCCACCGTCATCCACCCCATCTCTGCCGCACCGCTCAATACCAGCATCACCAACCACATCAACAAGCTGGACAAATATGACACGGTGGAAGCCATTAAGGTCTGTAGATGGATACTTTCTTCATTCACTGGGGGTTAAGAGTTTGATGAATGTTCATGCAAAGATCAGTTTGGTCCATTCGTTGGATATCACACAGCTCCTTTGGTAAATTAGCATAACTTATTCTCCCGGTGTCACATATTAAAACGCTTTTCTTACCTCATGACTGTCACTGTCACACACCCTCCTGTCGCTCACTGACACTCGTCACAGGTAGGCAGTTGCACATTCTTCGTCTCTGTGTTTGTCTCAATGTGCGATTGTGCTTTGTTTCCTTGGCGCTGCACTGCTTTCTCCTAAAATCCTAACAATTTGCTATCTGATTTTATATATAATCAGTAAGGGTGTCCTCTGGCTTGAGCAGCTTTTTGGGTTATGATTGCATCCTAAAGTGCAGATAGTCAGATGTATCAGAGTCAGCTGAAGTGGTCCAGTTAGTCTCCTGGCACATATTGCCTCTTATCCACTGACACATTGAGGCTGTCTGGCCAAAATGGGATGGTGATTAGCACTACTCCACAGACACTCTTTGCTCTAGCTAGGGTTTCATCTGTGATACAGCAGTGAAGTGCCTAAACCGTAGGCACAGTTTATACCCACACAATTGGTTTTAGAGGAAATAAATCTAAAACCTTAGTAAAAATACTGTAGTTAATCAGGTAAAACAATTAGAAAAGAATAAATTAGCATGTATTTTTAATACACATAGACATAAGAAAAACAGAAACACGTGTCTTTGAATTTGCCATTTTAACTGCAATGAATGCATTCTATTTTAATATTTCATTTTGCAGTAAAGACTTTAAATTTTTTTTAAAAGTAGTAGCAATTTTAATCTTTTAACATACAAGTTCACAGCTAAAGCAAAAAAACAATTATCTAAAAAGCGAAACAGAGCAAGGATATGTGATGATTTCCCGTTTCATGCAAATAGAACACGTGGAAACCTTTTATAGGATCACTGTATTGTCTATCAGGTATAAACTTACTTGATGATTTATCACCTAGAAAAGACAAGCTTTAGTTTCCACCTTCTGCTTCATCTTAATTAACTAACATTAAGACCTTTATTTAAACACTTTTATGCTTACCTTTTAAATCATAGAATAGAAAATGAATACTTCAATTATAATTTGGGTTGAGGGGAATGATAAACAGAAACAATGAACCTCATCCAGTAATAAATGATTTTAAATAAGGGGTTGAAAGTAAGCATAAGGTGCCTGCAAAACTTTTTTGGTCTTTGCTTTTATTGAAATCAGGCGATTTACTTAATGTACAGAAAAGAAAAAAATTAATACTACTTCTAAAAAAATATGCCAACTTTGCATCCTACATATATCTGGAGGCTTCATATTCTCAGTGGAAGTCATCAATATCAGCCGCATTAGCAAAGTAAACAAATCGGATCTCTGTTTGCTAAAGAACTTTCCATTTATAAATATGTTTTTTATCCATATTAAAGCTCGAGCAGCTCCTTTAGCTTAGAGCAAACTTTTGTGAGCGTAATTTCTTCAAGCGTTTGGAGATGGCATTCATTTGTCATACAATTAGAGTCAGGAGCATCAAGCATAATTCGGTTTGCGGTTGCAGATAGAGGCAGATATGAATGTTGACAGTCGGTGTGGAAATACAAAGGAGGCCGTATGACAAGTGAGTAATGAGTCATTTTCCAAATGCACATTCTGCCTCCAACTCTCAATCAGAGAGCCTAAATCACCTTATGTCGCAGTGAAGTTTCAACTAATAAGTCTGAAAAAGCATAATATGCATCCTTTTAGCTACTGTATGAGTAAATGATGAACAAAAGATTTAGTTCGGAGTTTTGATTCAAGGCATATTAGTTAAGGATTTTGTTTTTTTTATGCATTCAGTTTTACATCAGTTATAATGGGCAACATTTGCTACCGTATTTTCACGACTATAAGGCGCACTTAAACGTCTTTTTTTTCCCTCAAAATGTGCGGTGCGCCCTATGGTGCGGTGCGCCCTATGTGTGTTGTAACTGCGACTTTTGAGACCACCTCATTGAGGAGATGATGAAAGAGTGGCTGAATGTAAGGAGACCAGCTGTTTTTTTTTCCACCCCTCACCATCGCTGTTAATATGTAACTCCATGCGTGCCCATCTCACAGCTGATGTGAAAAACATGGGGAAACAAATGAATGCTGTGCTTGCTGTTCAACCGCTCAACATCGGTGTGAACCGGACCCAGCAGTCGCAGCAGAAGCAGCGAGTTTACATGCAAAGTCAATGGTTGATGCGCGTATAGGTGCAGCAAAAGGTCCTGCAGCGCGTTTTGGTGCAGCACGTCGGGAGCGTTTAAGCATCTGAAGCGCCGCCAACGCGCTGCTGCTGCTCAAGATGGAAAAATTGAAGTTTTGCTGCTGGACGCGCCGCATCAACCAATCAGAGAAGCAGATCTGGGAGCTGACAGCGAGACAGACAGCGCTCTGATGACATATGATATTAGATGAAAAAGGCTGGGTGGATGCGTGGCTGAGGCAGGTGTATCTGAGAAGACTAGGTGGTTTTTTCCACGCATCACCATCGCTGCGTGCCCATCTCACAGCCGATGTGAAAAAAAGGTGAATCAAATGAACGCTGTGCTCGCCGTTATCCCGGGGGGGATGACAAAGGAACTTCCACCGCTCGACGTCGGTGTGAAGCGCCCGTTCAAAGTAAGGCTTCTAGCGGCGTGGGAGCGATGGATGACAGACGGAGACCACAGTTTCAGGATAATGGGAAGGCAGCGCCGGGCAAGTTACGCCACCGTTTGCGGATGGATTGTAGATGCTTGGACTACTACGTGTCTGCTGGCTCTGTTGTTCAAGCTTTTGCAAAAGCAGGCATTATTTCTGAGGAGCTGCGCTGCACGGAAAGTGACTGACAGCGCAGATGGGGAAATTGGCATGTCTGATTTAGCGCAGCTGTTTAATTCAGAAACAGAGGATGATGACTTTGATGGCTTTGATTAATACTTTGTAATAAATACATGAATAAAGCACAATCATACTCAGGTTTGCTCCCGCTCTATTTTTCTACCTGAAAGCTTAATTCAACAGCTGCCTCTGGGCGCGTCTCCTCCTCTCCAGCGCGGTGGCTGGCAGGTGTTTTTTCATCTAAATAATCTAAATCTTGCAGCTATATTTGCTGTGATCAGTGGGAATAAAGTAGTTTTAATATGTTTTTAAGTGAGAAAGTCCACCTGAAAACTTCATAATTGCAGTCAGTTCATCCAGATTATCTATTTCTGTCGGAGGCGCTCAGACCCCCACATACCAGCGGTGCACCGACAGTAAATCCCTTCAACAGCAGCCTCACCGCGGCTGCTGGCAGGTGTTTTTCATCTAAATAATTTTAACTGCAGGCACCAGGATACCGGTAATAAAAGCGAACATATTCCGTCGGCAGGTTTCAGGATTTTAAGTTAATTTAGGAGTGATCACACCGCTGTGTCATCTGCGATGTGTCTGTCTCACGGCCAGCTGCCAGGTTTGATTAATACTTTGTAATAAATACATGAATAAAGCACAGTCATACTCAGTTTTGCCCCCGCTGTATTTTTAAATACGCAGTAGAGGTATTTAAAGGTAGTAGAGGACATGTACCTGTATATAAAAAACGCGCCCTATAGTCCGGTGCGCCTTATGTGTGTGTTAAATACAGAAATGGGACACATAACTGAGAGTGCGCCTTTTAGTCCGGTGCGCCTTATGGTCGTGAAAATACGGTAAATAGATTCTCTTTTAACCCGTCAGTCCACAGAATATTTTCTGAAGAGTATAAGGCATTAACAAGATTTTGTTTCGTTAATTGGGTTTTTGTGGTGTTTTTGGTCAGTATAGGTAATCCTCACTGAACCTTTTCATGATTGATTGATTGATTGATTGACTTTATTGATCTCAAAGTGGAGAAATTTACTATATATATATATTTACTATATATATATATTTACTATATATTTACATAAAAAAAAAATATATATATATATATATTAGGGATGCACAATATAATCGGCCCCCTATCGGTATCGGCCTGTATCGGTCTTAAAACTGAATATCGGACATCGGCCACCCCACCGATATTAACCCGATATTTGATCAGCTTCTGAGTTCCTAAAGTCTAAAAAAAAAATAAAAATACTACTTCTTCTTCTTCCTCAAAAACTTTTTTACATCTAAACATCTAAAGACGAGGGAAAAAATATTGATACATTAAAATATCCCAATATCTTCATATGCTGATATATTGCCATTTAAAAACACCATATCAATCTCTTTTACTAATAAAATATTGCTATATGTCATCGTTATGCTACGAAATCCCCCCGAAAATTCACGAAATTTTGCCATATTTTTATATGTTGACGCGGTATCGATCTATTTTACTAACAAAATCTCACAAGAATTTGCAAAATATCACAGGAGTTTGTAAGAGAACGATGAAATTTCACGAGATTTTGAAAGTAAAATAGATCGATACCGCGTTTTAAAAAATCAATTTAATATCAGCATATGAAAATATATTTTAGTATATTATTTTTCAAAGTGTCAAAAATGGATAATAAAACTGCTATTTTCAATGACTTATTTTTGTCCAGCTTTAACATCGGTATCGATATCGGTTATCGGCTTCATGAGTTTTAAAGTATCGGCATATCGGATATCGGCCAAAATCCCAATATCGTGCATCCCTAATATATATATATATATATATATATATATATATATATATATATATATATATATATATATATATATATATATATATATATATTTATTTATTTATTATTTCTATTTTATTTACATGGGTGAGAAGTTAGTCCATTTCACACTGAAAGGCATGAAGGACTTTTTTTCTTGTTGCTTCTTGAACTTCTTTAGATTTAAGCCTGATATGTTGCCATTTTTTTTGACGATTTTTACATACTTGATGTAGTCAGACAGACTCTGAAGGGATTTTGTGAGGATTTAGCAGTATTTAGCAAGAAAAATCAGCTCTCCCAAAATTTGGTAAATGATAGGTCTTTCAGGATTTGACAAAATGGGTTGGATGAAAACCTGTGCCAGGAAAAAAAATCTGTTAAAGGGCAAATACTTTGTCACAGCACTACACGTATGCATAGTTTATTATATCTTTAATTCTGCTTTTGATAGGTTATGCTCTTTTTAAATTTTACATCAAGATTATACATCACTATAATTATGCATAACTCACATAAGTTCTCTGACTATTTTTTATAATATTATTGTTATTACGAGCAAGTACAACACCAAACATAAGAACAGAAAGAAAAACTACTAGATTATGCCTTTTACTTTTTTTTTTTTTTTTTTGAGGATGACTCTTGCCCATTCCTCTCCTTCCTGCAGCCAGACGTGTCGGTTCTCTTGCCTCTGGACGACCCTGCAATGCACCAGCCTCTCTCTGCTAACATGGGGGTCTCTATGCGTGGACTGGAGATTTTCTACTAACCAACCTCCTGACCTCAACAACATCCCGCTTCCTGACTCCCCACACCAAACCCAAACAACTCTTTGACCCATCATCCAGTACTTCTTCCTCTTCCCCAATGTGCCCTATCCTTCCACCTCCTGTGCGTGGCAGGTTGGGAGTACAGCACTCTGGTTTCTCTTCCTCTGTTCTGACTCCTTTCATCCTTCCGTCATGGCTGCCTCCCTTCTCTCTCACAGCTGGCGAGAAGGCAGTGTATTCCTCCCTTTTAGTGCTTACATTTGCATGTTTTCTGTTTGTCCTTCACGTTATGCTATATTTTTTAATTATTCATTTAATTAATGGGCTGAGAGGGAAGTCTTGTTGTTATGTCGGTGTTTTAACCTCCTCTGTTACCTCTCTATCACTATCAGCACTTTATTGTTAAGATAAATTGTTTCAGCTGCACCAAAAACTATAATTTAATAATTTTTAAGAATATTATAAATATGTTTAATTCAAAAGACACAGTAGATGATGCTTAAACATATTGCTACAAATCGGTTTAAAGGCAGCCAAGCAGACACTAGCAGAGATGCACGTCTTTGGTGTTGCACGAAAGCTGATGGTTTTTCCTTTGTTTGCAAATCACATAACGGGAACGCAGCAAAATATACCTTTTTTTTTTGCCCAGTACACTCGTCTGAAACATCCATCAGCTGTAAATGCAGCATCATCAAGTGTTCAATTACACTGCCCCAAGGGACTCCTATCATGCTTCCCACTACAGCAGACTGGATATGAACACATCTATTTGCCAAATTGCTGATGTTGTACTGAGCAGCACATCAGAGGCTTGTTCCATGTTTACTGCGTCATGCAGAGACAGACAAGATGCCCCCCCCTACCACTACCCCCCTTGGTTCTTCCTTATTGTTTAACAGAAATGAGACTCGCCTTTGATCGATTTTTATGGCTTTGATTGTCCTGGAGGACCGACAATCCAAGGGCCATAAAAACCGCTGATGCTGGGTATTAGAGATGACAGAGGTGGACATTCGGATGTGCATCACAATAATTTAGCCCTGTGGTGAGAACTCATTTTTTCCAGCCTGTTGCAAATGCTCTGACCTTGCTCTGTGAAATGTATGTTACATTCACTGAGCAGTCTCCCATTGATTTATGTTGCTCCTTTGGATTTACTTTTACCTTGCCATCTGGCCTGATTAATCACTTGATCCATAAGTTGCACAAAAAAAGGCCCATACTGACTCCTATCCGTTTCTCCTCTCCATCTATTTTTGTTCTTTTCTTTATTTGCAGGGTTTCAACAAAAATAATCTGATTCTGGAGGAAAGGAATAAGTACTTCAACCCACAGCTTGCCGGGAAGACATATACCAATGCATACTTCTCTGATCTCAACACCTATGATGACTATTAACCCCAGACTTTTCTAGCGGAGATCATTACCCTGTTGTCAATTATGACTGTTTCAACACTCCTCGTGCTTTGCATCAGATCTGTAAAAGATTATGTATGTGGTTCAGTCCCACTATGAAACTCGATGGCAGCTGGTATGTAATGAAAACACACTCTGGTTTTGCCCACTAAAGGAAATGCCTACTTTCTCTCTGGTGCCTTGGGGTACATTTGGAAAATTTGGACTCACAAAAGAGAAATAAACAACTGGATCTCCGTTGCTGCAGACACTTTGGGGAGTGTCATCCCATCTAAGGTTTTTTTGTTTTTTTTCTGATGCCCCCTAAGACAGCCCTGTATGTGTAATGATGGAAGAGGACTACAAATTGCTTTGCATGACTTCATCTGATGTGTTTGCTTTGTTGTTCCGCTGCAATTTGCATGATGGATCACATTCCAGGGTTCCAGAGACAGTTTTTTTATGCTGCTCTTGTTTATGGGATTAGCTTCAGAAGTCTTAAAGCAAGTCTTCTGTTGGAATGACCAATGGTTTCTAACATTTGCTACAACAGCAATGTTCAATCTGAAAGTTGGATCAGTGTCCAGCTCCAGTCGTAGAATCAGGATGTAGATATTTGATGTCTGTGAACATAGTTTATCCTATTGTTTTACTTTGTTCTGTTGTTTTTCCAGCAGCTAAAAAAGCAAGCTATCAGTGAAAAAAAAAAAGATTTTCCCTTTCTTTGTGTTTTTGTACAGAAAATTATGTTTGAAGCCTCTGTCTAGATTTTCTATGCATTCATTCATTGTTTTAAGCATTTAGAGATTATCTTTTTAGAAGAAAACAGAATTGTGTCTATGTTTTGCCAATTATTTGAGAGCATTCACAGAAATGAATTAAGTTGTTACCATTGTACTTTTTATAAATATTTTGTAAAAGAAAACTAAAAAAAAAAAAAAACAAACATTGTTTTTGAATTTTGACAGTGTTTACTATTTCTTTAGCTTCTGAGTTAAATATGTTTGTGAAAGCAGGATGTTATTGGCATTAGATGAACAGGTGGAGGGTAGCAGCAGCTTCAGCCATCTATGTACCGTAACCTTACTGAGTTATTTTCTATTGGGTTCCTTTTGCCTCAGTTCCAACTAACTTCTTCTACATGTTTGCTTGTGTTTTGTGCATAAATTAAAATAGCTTCTTACAAGACTTGTCTATTCTGAATAAGAGGTTCAAAGTCTGTACAAATACTTGTAATGTTTTGTTTGAAATTTGTTCTAATAAATGTTTTTTTTTTATTATTATTATTTTGATGAATATAGCTTACATTAAAATAGTCATTTAAAACTTGTACTCTCAACTTTAGATTCTTACAGCGGCTATTTCCTCCAGAAAAGTGCCTTGCAAAAGTATTCATGCCACTTAAACTTTCCCTGGTGTTTTTATGTACAGCTACAAAATTTATTTCTGTCTTTAATATGACAGACCAATACAAAGTATTACATTGTTGTAAAGTGAGAAAAACAAAACCTTTTTACAAATTAAATCTAATGAGGAGGTGGTGCATTTGTATTGAGACCCTTTCCCTCAGCTTGAAGCCTTTTGGAATACATCTTTATCAGCTTTTCACATTTGAATAACAAAATGTTTGCAGATTATATCATAATTGCTACAGTTTCTCTTTTGGAATTAGATCTGGACTCTGACCAGACATTTGTAACGCCTGGCTATATTTTAAACCAAAAATATTGGTCTTTTACTCCATCCATCCATTTTCTAACAAGCTGATCCCAAGTGGGGTCACGAGGGGTGCCGGTGCCTATCTCCAGGTGTCTACGGGCGAGAGGCGGGGTACACCCTGGACAGGTCGCCAGTCCATCGCAATTCTCTCTAATTCTTTAACGGACAGGCTTCCTGAGAAGTATCTTCAAAACCTCATGCTCAAAACACAATTTTGTTTTACTGGTATGTGTAGAGAAATCTCAAGTGCTCACTGCTACACGACAGTTTACATGTAGATAAAAACAATCCAACAGTGACAACTGATTCTGCTATCTTTTAGCTGTGTGTTGTGGCAAACTTATAAAGGAAATTCCTCAAAGACGTCCTTGGTCCTCTCTCTTTAAAAGGGCCATCTTTTTGGAGTTCTAAAAAAGTGAAAAAACAAACCACAGGACTTTGTTTTCCAAGTTTAAGATGTTTCACTTCTCATCCAGGAAGCTTTTTCATTTCAAAATGTCTGGATTAGTCTTGAGTTCCAAGCTTTATAAAGTAGCCCAACAAAGCTTTGTTATGGCTTAGAAAACATGCAAATTGAACTGGAAAAAAAAGGTCCGCCCCTTAGTAATAGGGAGACATTAGGGTCATTGTTGGCCTGGCGGACCAGGCAAGATGTTTTTGTCCCATGCATCATGATGGGGGTTGAGTAATCGTGGGGAGGAATCAACTCTGTTGCTGTGTTGTAGGTTTTGGAGAGATTAAACCTGAGACCCCCCCCCCCCCTCTATTTAAGGTTGTTTTTTCTCTTTTAACATAAATAGCTTACTTCACTTTTTGGAGCCACATCTATGCAAAAACAGTCAGTCTGGCAGTTGCGTTGTCAACATATCCTCTCACCTGAGCTGTGTATGTCTGCCGCTCGACAGTTACCACGGCCTTCTTGGCTGCTTTTCTGATGAATGCTCTCTTTCCCATGCTCATCAGTTTACATGGACTACCATCAGGTTTGCAGAGGTTTGCTACCCTTTCCAATTTGAGATAATCGATTGAACAGTGATCTGAAGTATTCAAAGCCTAAAGATTTTTCTTTCTAACTAATCCTCCACTGAACATCTGTACACTTTTATCTATGACCTGCCTGGAGTGTTCCTTGGTTTCCACAATACTGTGGTTCACTAATGTTCACTGAGGGCTTTACAGAAGAGCTCTATTTACTCTGAAATTGAATTACACACAATTGGCCTCCATTTACTCAGTGGTTCAGCCAATTTGTTGTCCAGCATTTTATGTTGTGGTATTAGAATAATGGAATTCTGAAAACAAATGCTCACTAAAGATGTTTAGGTTTGATATGTAAAAAGCAGGATGAAATGTGAAAAGTTCAAGGGTATTAAATACTTTGTGCTGTGGCATTGAATTCAAATATTTAAACCAACTACATGATCAAACCAAGCACTTCATAAATCATCAAAAAACTGTAAAAAGACAACCTCCACCTGTTTTAAGAGGAGTTTTCAGGTGGCGCTACAATGACAAATGGCATGGACAGCAGTGGAAGGATACCTGAAGGATATAGATAGTGCAAGGTGGCATGGTGAAGGTGTAAGAGGTGCTGTCTAAAGTCCAAACACTAATCTGTACGACAGGGTGTAATACCCCACACTGTGTTGTTCTCCATCAACCTTCAACCTGACATCCCATCTGTGTGCAGAGGGTAATAGGGTGGCTGTTATTAATCACCCCGCTGTTTGGTTACTCTGGCTTCAAAGAATTCATCCATTTGCCTTGACTTCACCCTACCAGTGATAGCATTGCACCTACAGATACACAGGATGGCGTGTGTGGTTGGGGCAAGAAGACAGTAGGTTGAACTGCTGTACATTTATTAGTGAACATTAAAATTCATGCATAAAGAAATTTAGAGAGAATAGCACAAAATGCACTTCACATTTCCAGCTCTGGATAAATTTATAATTGACATAAGGTATGCAGCTCTCTGTCAGAAACAGTTCATCCCCCTCTAACTGCAAGGTCGTTGATGATTACCGACTTTTCTAAAGTGGCATTAAGGGACTGTTAAAGTTCTCAGATAAAGGTCAGCCAAGCAGAGCTTGTATGTGTCAAATAAACTGGCTGTGTGAGTGCTTGCATGGATCTTAACAAGAGTCAAAAGATGGACCACGTTTTGCACTGTAGGTAGACTTTTATAAATGGGAAAGTTGACCTTTGGCTGAACTAGATTGCTGAATTTATTTTTTTTCTTAACCTTTTTGTAGTGTTTTTAATAAGGATTTTTCTGGACCAAATTTCAGATGGATTCAGGAGCAGTATGATGGGTGGGAATGATTTCATAATTTAGAAAAAACTTACAGTCAAGCATGAGGAGAACTACCACAATACAAGCAGAAACGTGGGCAAAACAATGTGGATAGAAAGGCTTAGAAATTATTGCTCAATGAGGTAGCAAAGCAGAGGAATCCAGACAAGAAAAAATAACATTCAGGAGAATAAATGCAGGGTAGGGCATTGGCCAAAAAGTTGACTTAACTAGGCTTAGTCAACTAGCATCTGGAGAACCTGAAATTAAACATAGTTGACTTGGAAAAATCACAACCCATTAAAGCCCTAATTCAGGGTTCCAGATGACATAAAATGGAGGTTTGAGTTATTAGGGTAAAATGCAAAGCAGGTGAGACGAGTTGAAAGCAGAGAGTTAAGGTGGAAGACTAAGGCTCTGTCCCAATTCTATCACTTGCACTTGTTTTGAGCCCTAGCACCCGGTTTTGTGCCTTCACAGGTAAGGGTATTGTGTCCCAATTATTTTAAGAGCTAGGGGTAAGTGCCCTTCAACCCTTGAAATGATCCCTTCAGACGGAGGGTGGTCAAGAGCTGACTTGGAACGAAGTGGCTTCCAAGTACTCATTTGGCAAAAAGAAAAATGACCTCCGGCTTTGGAAAAGAACTGCAGAAATGTAAGTATATTTTTACAATTAACCACGCATTTAAAAAAATATTCGTTAAGATATCTTAGTTAGACGTAAATACAATTTAATTCAATACCATTCTCTTAAAACATGAATATTGCAAAATCACAAAATTTATATAGCACAAAAATCTACCAAGAGAGCTGTAAAGTAGAATGATTAAGCATGACAAAATTTAACAAAATCATGTTATCACCATTTCTGTCTTGACGTGTGAAATTGCCATGGTCACTATAGCAGCATAGACGGTATAATGTTATGCATAATTGTCATTGCGCTTGCTTACTGCACAGCACGCACCCAGTAACTGTCATATGGCATGATTTTTACATGTGTGATGCTTGCCAATACAATGTTTTTACAGCCATACAAACAATATGTCAGGCTTTTGCAATCAGTCGCTACCAAATAATTACCAAGAAAAACATTTGTGAATTTCCTTTATTGAAATTTCCTTCAAAAAATTTCAGTCTCCCATAGTGTATAGGACCCTGCCCTCCTCCCAAAAAAAGAATTCTAGAACATTAAAGCAACATATTATCTTAATAAATGAGTTCACATACTGTAAACAGATTAATAGGGGAAAATAGCGGCAGAGCCATCTTCGGTTTTTCACATTTATTCTCTGTAGGTTGACCAAAAAGCGAAAGGTCATCAGTGCCCAAGCAATAGGTAAAATAACTCTTGGATCTGCCATTTCCAAACGTACGAAAACTGGGAACAAAAACACACTGTGACTGACGTGTTTACGCATTACGTAGGTGAACACATCACTTAATTATACAGGCAACGTATTACTGCCATCTGAAAACATAAACAATAGTAAGCCAAAAGGGAAATGAAAGGAATAGGGAGATATCTAGATATGATAAATAACAAGAAAATACTAAAAACAACAAACAAAACCAACCCAAATATGTAAATATTTTGACACTTCTTTTCATAATGTTTACCCAATAATACTTTCTTCGAACAACTACAGAATTCAGAGTTGCAGCAGGTCCAATTCCCCCTATGTAGTTGTATTCATTTCATACACAGTTTTTGAGTAGGAAAAGTAGTCCTCTGTCAAAAGACATTGTGTACCAACCATGTGTAAATTTATTCTCATAGGGAGTGAGCAGTCTGGAGTGTGCTCACTGAACCAAGGTTTGGTGAAATAGAAGGCAACAGATTTGTGAACATCTGAGTTTTTTTAGTTCAGAAGAAGTAGTCCCTCTATTCTGTAGCCAGAGAGTGGACATTAGCCCATTGAATTGAAAATGCCTAAAGAGGATTGGCTTATGTTTAAGAGTTCATCTCTAGGGAAAATGGCTGCAAAAAGCAGAATAGATACACAAAAACATGCAAAGTACAAAACAAAAGAGGCTGTTATCCACAGGCCAGTTGGAGTATTTGATTCAATCATTAGTCAAGCAGCCTACACAGAAATTGGAACTTCACTTGGGATAGATATGTCACATAAAAATGTGTGTGTGTTTATCTTTTATGATTGTAAAAATATGTCTTTTATTACTAAAATCCTTAACACTTGCAAACAAAACCCCCTATGTCATGGTTTTGGTTCTGTTTTAGTTTTCTTTTTGAGATTTCATTGGTTTGAT